CGTGTTGGAGACCTCTGAATTAAATTATCAAGTCACCTCAAGTCAGAAGGCTCAAGTCCAAGTCAAGTCCCGAGTCATTGGTGTTCAAGTCCAAGTCGAGTCGCAAGTGTTTTGTGATTTTGTCAAGTCGAGTCCAAAGTCATCAAATTGGTGACTCGAGTCTGACTCGAGTCCAAGTCATGTGACTCGAGTCCACACCTCTGGCTAATTGTAAAAGTTTTGATGCCCTTTAGCAAGGCACCGGACATCCCCCTTCCCCCCTCACTCCCATTGCTCCCCGGGCGCTGTACAATAGCTGCCCACTGCTCCCAGTACTAGACTCCTGGTACTAGGATGGGTTAAAAGCAGAGAACACATTTCACTGTGTGTGCTGTGTGCTCTGCATGTGTGACCAATTCTTCTTCTTCTTCAGGGACAAAATAAAATGTATCAAAAATGACTGGTCGCCTCTCTGCATGTGAAATGTTTTGGATGCGATTCTATCAACAGCTTCCAGTTTGTGAACTAAGCAGCTCCCAGATGTTTAATGGTTTAAATAAAAATAAACAAAGTGGGTTAGCAAAGATAAAGTTAATGAAAGAAAGGTCTTGAGGAACTGAAATGACTGCTAAGATTTATTTTGGAGATGATGCACTCACCAGACAGTGCAAACTTAAGCTGACCAAATATAAATTGAAAAAGGAAATAAAGTAAAAATAAAAGAGAAACTGATAGAAACATTTAGTTAATACTCACTGAGGAAGAAGAAGCAGATCAAAGTGTGCCGGACGTTCATGTTTGAGGTTCTGATGGTTTACCGCTGCCTCTCTTCCGTCTGCACAAACCAGGAAGTGCTTGATCTTAATCTAAAGGATGCAGTCCCTCTGCTCAAAATACATCCACCACTCTGAACTCTAATTTGTCCCGCATGAATCTTCAAGTGTATGTGTGATTTTACATTAAACTACACCTGGATGTAGGTTACTGCAGGATTAAGTAATACTTTTGTAAAAATAGTTAGAATTACTATAACATCTCTAGCTTATGACTCATGTGGCCATCATTGAGTCCTATGTTTCTGTTTTATTAATAGAAACATTGACAGGTTTGCACCCTCACAAACACATCTAGTTGTTCACATTTATTTAATAGTGTTTGTGTTTTAAGAGAATAAAAGAGAAAAAAAATGTGGCTCCAAAAAGATTCTTTAAACACAGCTTTTAGTGATTCACATTTTTTATTTTGTGATTCCTTTAACTGTTACACATTGATGCACCTTTTCTCCTCCATAATGCATGCTGTGAGAAATCTGTGAATATATTTCAAAACAGAAAAAGACATGCTTTAGTAAAACACATTTCAGGTCACACTGGAGAGACAAAACCAGCAGCTAAGAAATAGACGGCATTTTCAGAATACCCCGAGGGAGCGCTGTGAATTTACTCAACGTATCTTCATCCCGTAAGAGCAGCTTAGTCTTAAAGGCATCTTAAAAACATTGAATTACTTTATGTTGTTCATTTCCCTTTTCTTCTGCGTATAATTCACATGCTTACCATAACTTATTTAAATGTATCGCTGCATGATACAAACTAAAACTCATTGATTTAGTTAAACATTTTGAATCACAAAGATTATTCAGTGAGTTGTGCAGAAACAACAATAATGGTTATTGCTGCCAGAAAACGGCCAATGTTAAATCATCATTTAGTCATGATCATTATGTTAAATATTAGCTAGGTGACCTGGTGGAGCGTGCCACCCATAGCGAGGCTGGCCCACGACTCTTTGCCTTGTTTCAATGTATTTGACCTATACATGCTATAAAGGCAAAAAGGTATACAAAAAAAAGTAAGGACATTTTCAACATTGCATCTGACCAATCTGCTGCCAAATAGTTTCTAAAATGAAATATCTCAACAAAAGAAATCTATGCCGAATGACTGTAACAGATTAAACCCCAAATTATATCCCAATTATTGTGCGATAATTGTGGCAGAATAGTTTATAAATGTATCTTGTTTAACCACAGGCGGTGATTACACATTTCTTTATGTTTAATACATTTTCCACAATGCTTGCAATGACATCTTTATAACATACTTAACTCTAAAACATTTCTTAATACAAATGTTACGGCAAAATGACAATCCTACATTGTAAAAAATTAAAACGAATGCTAAAACAACTGTATTTTTTATGAAATACTACAATATATAATGTTTTAAAATGTTTTAGGACAAACCAAGATGTTGCAGTATTCAAAGTCAGCTTTATTGTCAAGAATTCTTCATGTGTTATACATACAGAACATTTGAAATACCGAAAATGTATTGCAGTATTATGTCTTGATGATTTGTGTCCAAGGAAAAGCCAAAACATATAATATCAAAAAGAAACTTTTACAATAGAAAATATGAAGAAAAAACAGGGATACGTAATAATATATTTATTGTACTCTAACACTTTATGATATTCTATCTATACTATTACATTTGAATAACACATAATTAACTATTATTGCTACTTAATTGATATGACATATTACTTTTTCTATATTTATCAAAATCAGTCCACCGGGAGTGAAAATATGGAAACAGCCATTTTTGATCCTGAGAATGCCTCATCCATTAACCCCAAAACCACTGCAAAATTGTCCAAACCAGCCAAACAATTGTTCAACTATTTCCCCCATAGGCTATAATGGTAATTCCTACTTATTAACGCAACATATGCTGAATGAACAAATTGCCCAACATATGCAAGTTAGCACCCGGCAGTTTCTATGTGCTGGGGACCCGTAATATACACTTTAACTTTGGTGTACTCAACATTTCCAGGTTCACAGCAGCACTCTGTGAGCTGGAAACTCGACTAACCTGTAAAAGCACTTGATAAATAAATGTATTATAAACACCAGCTAAAGACACATCTTTTTAGATTAGCTTTTTATTAGCAACCCCCACTTTAAATGTTCTTTTAGTCTTTATTATTTACCTACCTTTATGTTGTTTTATTTATTGTATAGGTCTTAAAGGATCTTTATCTTATTTTATTAATCTAACATGCTTCAATAGCAATATTTATTTTTGCGTTGGTCTTTTTTATTTCTTAACCTTTTAACCTTTATTAGAATTATGGCATTTGTATTACTATTATCTCTTATTTCTGTTGTACCTAAATGTTCACTTTGTTTTATGGGGTTTTATATTTTATATTGTTTCATCGATTTAGTTGTCTTGCGTCTGATCTGTCATTATTTATTTTATTTGTATTATCATACATTTTACCTCCTTGTGTCGATTAACCTGATAAAATGTTATATTTTGCTGCATGTACCTTTTAAAGTTCTTAACAAATAATCTGAGCGGAAATATTTTTTATTAATTTTTTTCTTTGACTTTTGACATTTTGTAAAGCACTTTGAGCTGCATGTGTTCTATGAAAATTGTTATATAAATCAAGCTTTATTATTATTAATGTAGACTGTGTGAAACCCAAATAGCTTTTGTTTACTAATTAAAACCCTACAAATTAATTTAGTTGAAGCAGCATCTGATTTAGTAAGAGGGGAGTAGAGAGGAGAAAAAGCGTCTTCTGCGTGTCCAAACTCGTTTCTACCCAAAGGACGAAGTAGAGGACGTTATCTGGATCACCACAGGGGGCGCTGTGGGGCGAGGACCCTGCACGGAGGGGCACATCCTCCTCAAAGCAGGTGAGTTTACACGGGTCCTCTTCAGTCTGCAAGATAACAATTTATCTCATTTTTTTAAATATGGAAGTTCTTTCTCTTTGTTCACACATCTTAACTTCCTTCTCAAAAGAGTCATCGCTGTTGTCTTTAGAAATAACCCCACCCTGCACTGGTTCCTGTGTCTTAAGAAGGCAACAGGTTATACTGAGAAACAAACACTGATGTTAAACTTTGACTTTACTCTAGTTATTTTAGCGTTTGAAGTCCAAAGATACTGTTTTCTGAACTCAAACCTTCAGTCATATCTCAGTGTTTGCTTACTGTCTTCTGAGAAGTGTCTGCAGTGTGAAGTGGAGAGAACAGACATTTCTATAGGAGGAGATCTGCTCCCTCTGTCCTCCTCTCTGACCTCCTCACACTCTCTGTTAGCCTGCAGGAAGTGAGGACAGGTTTGTATTCATATCAGCTGTTTGCACAAACATTACAAATGCTGAGATTTACTAAAACTCACCTCTGTGACATTGACATACTCAGCCTCATCAGCAGTTTCTAAAAGACATCACATTCAGAAGATTAGGTCCAAACGATTGCTTTTGTTATGTGTTTGTTTCCTGTAAACTCACCTCTGGGTTTCCTGGCCCTCTTCCAGGAGAATATCAGCACAGACGCTGAGAGTACGATGAACATGACGACCAGAGTCAGACGCACATACAGCACCACACCTGAGAGCAGAACAACACTTTGTTTACTCTGATACTTCCTGGTCCATAAACACAAAACAACAAACTAAAAGTACCTGGACCATCTGAAGCTGTCTGTCCCTGTTGAGAGACAAAGAGACCCTTTGTGGTGGTCAGTGTGGAGGCTGATGTTGGAAACGGTCGGGGAGTCACTTCTGGTTTTGAAGATGTTGGAGCTGTGCACAAAAAGAAAACACAATGAAACACAAATCAGATACTGATTGAACAAAGAACGCTAAGATGTCATTGAAATAAAATGTATCTGCAAATGCATCAGAGCATTTCTAATCATGTACCGTAGCTACAGTAGATGCAGGAGGTAATTCATGTGTTTGGTGCAACAATATTTAAATAACCTATAATGTCTGTGGTGGATATCTACGGAAGAGGATTTTAGGGCCGCATGAAAAATTCTGGTGGCCCTAATCCTCTTCCGTAGATATCAGATATTTAGCAGATTATATTTAGTTTTGTTTTTTATTAGGAGCATTTTAAAATATACAGCTCTTAATATAACTGTATCACTAAACATATTCGGTTATTTGGAACAGCAGCGGAGGTTCGTGAACAGATCAATCAAAACTCACCATCTTTAACTCTGATCTCAATGTCCTGGTATGAGTCAGGGAGGAAAGGTCTGTCCTCCATACCACATTGGTACCGTCCTGCGTCAGACTTGGTCAGCTTTGTGATGCTCACATACAGATATACAGATAATACAGACCCCACATATCTGATGCAGTATCTGCCTCTCTGTTCTGAGTCTCCGGTCGTTTCTACCAGAATGTTTCCTTCTTCACATTTTCCCTTACAGAAGAGCTTCCTTTTTCCAGAGAAAGAAAAGGAGCATGCAACTGTGATGTTTCCTCCTTCAGTTTCTGTACGGAGGGGGTTTTGTGCGTTGGTGAGCCCACTGTTTCCATCCCTCAGTGCTGTTGAAAAGACGAGTGAATATTTACTATATTCCTTTAATACACTGCAGTCTGATGAAGGCAAGGCAAGTTTATTTATATAGTACTTTTCTGTACGCGACAATTCAAAGTGCTTTACAAAACAAATTAAAAGACTTTTTATGAATAAATACAGTAAAAACACATTATATAATGGCATTTTACAACAGGCATTACAAAGCAAAGATAATACAATAATAAAAATAAACACCACAGGTATACAATACATTGAACAACATTTCCTGCTTCACATTTCCAAAGATCAAGATTTAAATATATTTTAGATTGTCCAGAAATGTTGATAACATTATAAAATCCCAGTAGAAACTCACCATCTTTAACTCTGATCTCAAAGTCCTGGTATGAGTCGGTTCCAAATCTGTCCAGACCACATTGGTACCGTCCTGCGTCAGACTTGGTCAGCTTTGTGATGCTCACATACAGAATTGCGTTAGATAATAGAGACCCTTCCACATATCTGATGCTGTATCGGCCTCTCTGAGCTGAGTCTCCGGTCGTTTCTACCAGAATGTTTCCTTCTTCACATTTTCCCTTACAGAACATCTTCCTTCCTCCAGAGAAAGAAAAGGAGCATGCAACTGTGATGTTTCCTCCTTCAGTTTCTGTACGGTCGAGGTTTTGTGCGTTGGTGAGCCCACTGTTTCCATCCCTCAGTGCTGTTGAAAAGATGTGCAGTCAATATTTAACATATTCCTGTAATACACTGCAGTCTGATGAACAACATTTCCTGCTTCACATTTCCAAAGATCAAGATTTAAATATATTTTAGATTGTCCAGAAATGTTGATAACATTATAAAATGTAATATTCTGCAGTAAAATTGATAATGATTTGTTTTAAGTGATTTATACATTTTATAAATCATGGAGAGACGGTGCCTTTATTACTACTTTTACCCCTCCCACGATTACAAAATGTGCATTAACTCTCTGTCCAATTCATTTAGGTGAATAAAATCCTGCTTTTTATTGGTTGCCAAAAATATTTCATTTAATACAGTGCTGCATTTTAGCTTCTTTTTTTCATAGTCAGCGGCAGGGACAAAATAAAATGTATCAACATGTCATAATAAAGTCTGCAAAGGCTGTTTTTTAAAAGAAATAAGGTTTTATAATTTCATAATTTTGCAGTTCTCTTGAAAATGACTGGTCGCCTCTGTGCATGAGAAATGTTTCGTATGCGATTCTATCAACAGCTTCCAGTTTGTGAACTAAGCCGCTCACAGATGTTTACTGGTTTAAATAAAATAAACAAAGTGGGTTAGCAAAGGTAAAGTTAATGAAAGAAAGGCCTTGAGGAACAGAAATTACTGCTAAGATATATTTTGGTTGCAACTTGTGTTTATTACTCAACTACAGTCGGTCTGATGAAACAGAAAATAACGTTACCAATCAACAGACTAAACCCAGCAAGAAGCAACTATAAACCCAAAGAACCAGCACAGAAGAACAATGGTTGATTGCAGATTGTCGAGCTGAAACACAAAGGCTTGTTTATATTTTCAGGGACTAACTTTTGTAATGAACTACTTTTTTAAATAGACTCTCTGTGTTAATCCACAGAAACCAACAACAGGTTTTTGGACTGATATGAGACGATGCACTCACCAGACAGTGCAGTGCAAACTAAAACTGACCAAATATAAAATAGCAAAAGGAAATAAAGTAAATGTAAAAGAGAGACTGATAGAAATATTTAGTTAATGTACTCACTGAGGAAGAGGAAGCAGATCAAAGTGTGCCGGACGTTCATGTTTGAGGGTGTGATGGTTTAATGCTGTCTCTCACTTCTGACTCCACAAACCAGGAAGTGCTCTACTTCTTTACTGATGGAGTCCCCTCCCCCAACACACACTGAACTCTACTCTCCATGTCATTATAATCAAGTTTATATATTTTATCTTAAAACTAGACTCGTTTATATCTTAAAGGGGTTACTTTTCAGGTTCATATCAGTATGTAGTGCCTCTACTGTGACATGTCTCTATGCTTAAATGTTCCAACAGCTCTTTATTTTTCTCATACTGCCTGTACTGCAGCACCTCTTTTCACCCTCTGTCTGAAACCAGAGCCCAGTCTGCTGTGGTTGGTTACACACACACACACACACACACACACACACACACACACACACACACACACACACACACACACACACACACACACACACACACACACACACTGCAATAACACTGTACAATAAATCACCTCTGGCTGGAAGAGAACTCTCTGCTCCATAGTTTCTCTAGAAATAAAACCACGTTGTACATTTTACTCACACATAATCTGTTTCATATTTAATACACCATAATTCCATATATTTTGAATATATATATATTTGTATATATATATATAATATCTGTATGTATATTTTCTATTTTGTATTTTGACATGTATATTTTATATTTTATATCTTATTTTATTCTATTCTTGTATATTTTTGTTTTATTGTAAAATGCCTTATATGCTGCAAAACAAAAACAAAAACAATTTCCCAATTTGGGATCAATAAAGTACGATCTATCTATCTATCTATCTATCTACACACACACACACACACACACACACACACACACACACACACACACACACACACACACACACACACACACACACACACACACACACAACAAGCCCCCTATAGACCCCCACACACAACAACACAGACTAATAATAACACTCCTTGTTGTTAACCACCAACTGTCTGCAATATGTGCAATATATATATATATGCCGTTAATAACTGTGTAATATATCCCTGGCTGCTAAATCCTGAGAACTGTTACAGGATGTGTATTTTATAAATTGTGTAACTTTTTTTATCTTGAATATGTTTTTGTATGCATGTTTAGGTAACATTAAGCTGTCTTTGGCTCTTTTCTGCTGTAACAATGTAAATGTCCCCTCTGTAGGACTAATAAAGGTATTCTGATTCTGATAGCTGGCCGGCTCTGTTGTGATTGGTCAAGCGCTAAGAGATGTCCCGCCCCTTAGCCTATCAAGTACAAGTTGTAAAGACCTACATTTGAAAAGAGACTCTGAACATCATGTGTAATCAAATAAAGCAACAACACTGGACTGATGTGAGACCAAATGTGAGTCCACTCATGAGTTTCCCATCTGCTGCATATTTTTGAGTGATCGTCTGTGAATGAATAAAGAAAAACAGTAAAATAAGAGAAACTGATAGAAATATGAAGTGTGTGAACTCACTGAGGAGGTTCATGTTTGAGTCTGATGGTTAAAGCTGCCTCTCTTACAGTATGTCTTAAGGAACTGCTTTACTTCTGTAAATTATCGATGTACAGTATACTTTTTCATGTCATTTTATTCAAATTTGTGTGTGATTTTACATTAACACTAAACTTCGTTTTTGCCAACACTTATGTTTTCATTTCTTCTAGTTCAAACACTAATGTACTTAAAATAAATACAAATAATGACACTTCCAAAAGATGCTTCAAACATGACACTTGCTTTTTATTTTATATATAAAAAAATAGGATTATTCGAGAAAAAGCGTCTTCTGCGTGTCCAAATCGTCCAAACTCGTTTCTACCGAAAGGACGAAGTAGAGGACGTTATCTGGATCACCACAGGGGGCGCTGTGGGGCGAGGGCCCTGCATGGAGGGACAAATCCTCCTCAAAGCAGGTGAGTTTACACGGGTCATCTTCAGTCTGCAAGATAACAAAGAAAAGTTTATACCATTCAAGTTTACTCTTATATTTTGTCAAATGATCATGATTTCATCATGGGAGCCGCTTCATGTGAAATGTTTATCTCCTTTCTTTCTATATGGAAGTTCTTTCTCTCTGTTCACACATCTGAACTTGGCATGTGGCTGGCGCTTGTGGCTTTAGAAATAATTCCACCCTGCACTGGTTCCTGTTTCTTAAGAAGGCAACAGGTTATACTGAGAAACAAACACTGATGATAAGCTTTGACTTTAATGGGGCGAAGGCGAAGCCTGCGAGCTAGTTCAGGCAGTCAACTCGAGCACCAATGATACATTAACACGTGATGCACCTCGTCCCTCTTACAACCAACCAAACACATTCTCCTTAACTTGCCGCTCTATTTAAGCTGCCAGGTCTTCCTGCCTCTGCCTCGCTATGCTGCTGCTGCGTTCATGCTCCTGATGCTGCTGCTTGCCTGCCCCCACCACCACCCCAGCTTCCACCCCAGCTTCCACCTGTAGGCTCGGGGGGTAGTTATCTAATCATCACTCAATGTTCTATGTACATCTGTGGAGTGATGAGGCCTGAGCCTAGACGCCACACTCAAACTATATGCTGCTTCTAATAAACATATAAAGAAACACGTGAGTTGTCTGACTGAACTCTAGTTATGTTAGCGTTTGAAGTCCAAAGATACTTCTTTCTGAACTCAAAGCTTCAGTCGTATCTCAGTGTTTGCTTACTGTCTTCTGAGAAGTGTCTGCAGTGGGAAGTGGAGAGAACAGACATTTCTATAGGAGGAGATCTGCTCCCTCTGTCCTCCTCTCTGACCTCCTCACGCTCTCTGTCAGCCTGCAGGAAGTGAGGACAGGTTTGTATTAATATCAGCTGTTTTCAGAAACATTACAAATGCTGAGATTTACTAAAACTCACCTCTGTGACATTGACATACTCAGCTTCATCAGCAGTTTCTAAAAGACATCACATTCAGAAGATTAGGTCCAAACGATTGCTTTTGTTATGTGTTTGTTTCCTGTAAACTCACCTCTGGGTTTCCTGGCCCTCTTCCAGCAGAATATCAGCACAGACGCTGAGAGTACGATGAACATGACGACCAGAGTCAGACTCACATACAGCACCACACCTGAGAGCAGAAGAACACTTTGTTTACTCTGATACTTCCTGGTCCATAAACACAAACAACAAACTAAAAGTACCGTGACCATCTGAAGCTGTTGGTCCCTGTTGAGGCTGCGTGGTGCGTTCAGGGGAGGCTGAGGAAGGTACGGAGCTCAGACTCTGAGTGGTGGTCAGTGTGGAGGCTGATGGGGATGATGTTAAAGAGGTTGGAGCTGTGAAACACAAAGAAAACACAATGAAACACAAATCAGATTTGACAAAGAACGCTGCACTAAGATCTCTTCAAAATAAAATGTATCTGCAAATGCATCAGAGCATTACGAATCATAAAGCTAAATCAACATGGTAATTAATGTCTTTGGTGCAACAATGTTTAAATAAGCTGTTAATGTTTTTAGTGGTTATCAGATATTTCGCAGTTGAACTATTGTTTTTTTTAATAGGATCATTTTAAAATATGAAGCTCTTAATATACAGTGGAGGAAATAAGTATTTGATCCCTTGCAGATTGTGTAAGTTTGCCCTCTTACAAAGAAATGAACAGTCTATCATTTTAGAAGATCTTCAGAGAGGAGTGGACCAGAATCCTTCCTGAGATGTTCACAAACCTGGAGACCAACTACAAGAAGCGTCTGTCCTCTTGCTGTCCAACAAAGGTTTCTTCACCAAGTACTAACACATGTTTTGCAAGGGGATCAAATACTTATTTCCCAAAGTGAAATGCAAATAAATGTTTATCTTTTATATAATGTCAATTTCTGGATTTTCTTTTTGATATTCTTGTTCTCACTGTTAAAATAAACCTATACCATTAAGATGATAGACTGTTAATGTCTTTGTAAGTGGGCGAAAATACAAAATCTGCAAGCGTTCAAATACTTATTTCCTCCACTGTAACTATAATATGTTACACTGAACATATTCAGTTATTTGGAACAGCAGCAGAGGTCCGTGAACAGATAAATCTAAAACTCCCGGTAGAAACTCACCATCTGTAACTCTGATCTTAATGTCCTGGTATGAGTCGAGGAGAGATCCAGATCGGTCCAGACCACATTGGTACCGTCCTGCGTCAGACTTGGTCAGCTTTGTGATGCTCACATACAGAATGTAGTCAGATAATACAGACCCTTCCACATATCTGATGCTGTATCGGCCTCTCTGAGCTGAGTCTCCGGTCGTTTCTACCAGAATGTTTCCTTCTTCACATTTTCCCTTACAGAACATTCTTCCAGAGAAAGTAAAGGAGCATGCAACTGTGATGTCTGCTCCTTCACTTCCTGTACGGTCGAGGCTTAGGTTGCATTCGAATAGTCCATTTAGCTTAGGAACCTTCCTAACGGAGTGAAATGACCCGGAAGTCCCTCAGTGGCAGCCATGATAAGTGCCGTTCGAATTCTCTAAATTAAAAGGAAAGGAGGTTTCAAACTTCCTTTATAACCTCCTTTAGCTTAGGAACCACTGGACCTCCCTAACCGAAAGGAGAGGAGAAAATGCTGCCCCACAATGTCTTGCGGCCGCAGCATTTGCCGTCACACAACAGTCGGCCGTTCACGGAAACAACCGATTATGAACGAGAAATTATATCATGAAAGTTACGGTGCTTATTAAGCATTTTAAAACGTATGTGGTAAGTTGCCAAAGTGCTTTGTTTTGAACGTTTATCCGTATTATAATCAAAAAGAGAAATATGAACGTTAGTTTTTACTGAAATGATCAAATAAAGTCAACATTTCACAGTCTTTACTGAGCTGTGTGGGGTTTGTTCAACTTTTAAAAGATGTTTGAATGGTGATATACACAGTGATAGATGTTAAGGACTAACGTTTATAATAAATACATTTGTATTGATTTTAAGATCTTTTCATACAATCATATGTATTGGGATCATTTGTATTAATGTGGACCGGAGGGAGAGGGTGACGAGCATAAGTTTCACTTTCCTTTTTTATTTCAATTCCAACTTTGGTCATGAAGAAT